TGAAATGGAGTTGATTTGTTGAAGTGAGACTTAGGCTTTTCCTGGTCTTGTCCCCCTTTTTTCTTCCTTTTGAGTTTGCTTCTGCTTTGTTACCACTAAATTCCAGCCTTTCTCTTAAGCATTAACTATGTATGTGTTTACCAAAACCAAAAAGGGAAAAATATTTCTGTTTGCACTGACTCCACATTTCTTTCTGGAAATCCCCACTGAAATGAAAGCTCTCATGGTCAATGATCTGAGAATTTCCCAAACCACTTAGGCAAAGCTTTCTTCTGGGGATCAGTGTTTCAAAGGCTAAGAATTCCGCATGCTAAGCCCTTGCATGATTGCTGCAGTCTGGGTCTGGTGAGGAATGGATGGAAATAATTCTTTTTTTTTCTTTATTTTAGCAACTTATGAAGTTGAACTCCCAGAACTCCAAAAGGTATATGCTGCTTTTCTTGACCAGATTTAAAACTAATGCAAGGACCAGCATTCATTCTAAAGCTGCTTCTTTGGGAAGAAAAGCAAGGGCCTGCAATTTGAATATGTCTGAAATTCTCCAGCCTCCAGCAGCTGAAATTCTGAGTCTTGGTGCACTAGAGAACAATGTGGGACGAGTGAAGTTAGGGGTCCCCCTTCCTGGCCGTTCATGCCCCAGCACCAGTTGGTCTGTCCTGACTATCCTTCTGAAGGCAGGTTCCTTGGCACAAGCAGAATTGGTTTATCCTGTGCTTTCTTTTTTTTTCTTTTTTCCTTTAGCTTTTTGGGTCACACCTGCTGATGCTCAGGGTACTCCTGGCTTTGCACTCAGGAATCTCTCCTGGAAGTGCTCAGGGGACCATATGGGATGCTGGGAATCGAACCTGGGTCGGCCACATGCAAGGCAAATGTCCTACTACTCACTGTGCTATCGATCCAACCTCCTATCCTGTGCTTTCTTTCAAGAACATAACGAGACCCCTCCTGGCAGACATCTAGTGAGGTCTCAGTGTTAGATGCCCCATGGAACTATTCAGTCAGGACCCAGCAGAGTGGCTGTGGCTGTAGACTCTTGAATCTCCATTGTCTCAGGGCAGAGTAGAGCTGTAACAGACCCACATCTGGGGCCATGGTAGGAATGTAGGTGAAGTCTGCAGTAAAAAGTTTCCCTAGAAGCTATTGGGAACTTAGGGTGGAGGGGAGGTCTTCATATGGGCAGGGAGCTCATGTTCAGCTGTGAGCAGCTGTGCTGCATCAGTGATCATAACCAAGGACAGGTGAGTGATGCATGGGATGGCTGGAAGAATGAGGGTGACTGAGTCAAGTAACCATTAGCAAACACTGAGGCCCTGCCCCTCTCCCAACCCCTCCCCTGTGGCCTTGTGAAGCATCTCCCCTTTTCTCACAGCCAACACTGTGATGGAAAGATCCATCTACGTCTTTCCACTTTGGTTTTCTTTCTTTTGCAGGGGAGTTTTGTTCACACTTGGCAGAGCTAGGAAGTTTCTCAGCTCTGTGCTCAGGAATCAGTTCGAATAGTGCTTGGGGGACCATGCAGTGTGTGTGTGTTGGGGGGGAGAAAGGGGGGGGGGTTGATGTTAAGATGGGGCCCCCTGCATGCATCTTAATTCCTATACTTTCTCTTTGACCCATGTGCTTTGGTTTTCTTACACTTACTGAAAAGGACTGTTCTTCTGTCTATGCATTTTAGAGCTAGAAAACTCAGAGTGATACTGTAACTCTTATTTATAAGAACAGAAACATTCTATCAAAATGCTCCTCTTGGGGCCAGAGAGATGCATACTAAGGTTGAGACACCTGCTTTGCATGCTGCCGACCCAGTTTGATTCCAGACACCACATATAGTCCCCCAAGCACTATCCAGAGTAACTCCCAAGCACAGAGCCAAGAGTAGCACCCAATAACCCCCACCTCCCAAATGCTTCACTTATCTAGAAATAAAAGGTAAAAAGGTAAAGGCCCTCCCGTTGATCGTCGATTTGCTCGAGCGGGCCCAGTAACGTCTCCATTGGAGACTTTGTTGTTACTGTGTCTGGCATATCGAATACTCTCGGTAGCTTGCCGGGCTCTCCGAGAGGGGCGGAGGAATCGAACTCGGGTCGGCCATGTTGGCCGCGTGTAAGGCGAACGCCCTACCCGCTGTGCTATCGCTCCAGCCCTATCTAGAAATATCACCAACAAATAAAATTGTCTGATAAAATAAAACTGTCTGGAAAATAGACAAATAAACAGACAAACAAATAAAACTCTTTAAATAACCATTTTCTATCCCACACAACATCAAAGCACACACAAGCCTTTTCAATATTTAGACCTTTACCCTCGAATAGGAGTTACATTCATCCCAGTATTTTAAAGCTGGGAAGGTAGACCCAAGTGTCAGGACTCAAGTCTCAACTTTCTTGGTAACTTGAAGCCCTCAAGCCACACAGGGTGTAGCAGGCCCAGTTCAGGTCTTTCTGCAGGAGCTGCTTACTCCAACCCTCTGGGTGGTCGGAGTTCACTGTCTTCCCCTCATAGGACCATAGGTCCATTTCCTGGACTCATGCTCATTTTTCTGACCATTTCTATTTCTCCCCACTATCGATAGCTGATGTCTGGCTGGGAGGGATGTCCTCACTTATCATTTCCCCACTGTGTACAGGCACTGTGTACAGGGAACAGCACTGAATCCCCTTTTGCCTGGAAACTCTCCCATGGCTCCCATTTGACAGACATGCTTTAGCAATTCAGGGGTTAAATGATGTTTCAAAGACACTAGCCTGTCCTGTCCGATATGCCTACCAGTGATACCGGGCCCTATGCTAGAGTTCTATGGGAAATCAGACCCAATGTCCATAGGGAAGCCTGCAAGGCCTCCTCCAGCAAGGAAGATGCCAAGGCATGCTCTCGGGGCTGCATTTTGAGTGCTGAAACATATTCTGGTGTCTTCAAGGTTCTTGTCTAGACTCTGGCTCATGGAAAGCACCAGAAACATGATAGCCAAATGAATGAAGGGCTCTATAGGGTGAATGGGACATGAATATAATGGAGCCTGATCTAAATCTGGGTTATAGGAGAGCTCAGTAGACATAGGTGCAGGGCTGGAAAATCCCCTCATCCCCAACTTGCACATGAACTTATACCAGCTTCGCCCACTGAAAAACGACTCAAATACCACACATGCATATTTCCTCCGATGATTTTAAAGTTATCCACTCTACAGATGCCTTTCTGAAAAGACATGCAGAGAGCAGTTCCTTTCTTAGTTTAATTATGCACTGCCTCTGGCATGCCCTCACTTCAGAAACGCTTCTTCTGTTCAATGCCACTGATAACTTTCTGTTGTCCTTGTCACCTTGGCTCTCCATGGAGACCTTCCCTGCTTCCTTATAATCTCATCTCTGAAGATCAGAATCTCAACCACAGAGGCCTTCGCTTGGGTAGATGCATGAAAATAAAAATCACTATTTCTTTTCTTCTTTTATTTCAGCCTTGGAAAAATTCTCTCCATGGTGAACTTAGGTGAGTTTCAGCTGCAAAAGGAAAAAGCATTCATAATCACTGAACTCCTCATGGTAAAACTGGTTTTGCTTGATGGGCCAGTAGGTTTCTTTTTAAATTTATTTTTACTGAATCACCATGAGATACAGTTACAAAGCTTTCATGTTTGCATTTCAATCATGCAGTGAATGAACAACTATCCCTCCACCAGTACACATTTTCCACCACCAATGTCCCCAGTATACCCCTCTTCCAGCCCTCCCCCTGCCTCTATGGTAGACAGTTTCCCCCATACTCCCTCTCTACTTTGGGGCATTATGGTTAGCAATACAGATACTAAGAGGCTACCATGTTTGGTCCTTTATCTATTTTCAGCACACATTTTCTATCCCTAACGATCCCTCCGACCATCATTGACTTAGTGATCCCTTCTCTATTCTAGCTGCCTTCTCCTGCAGCTCACGAGGCAGGCTTCCAACTGTGGAGCAATATTCCTGGCCCTTGTCTCTACTGTCCTTGGGTGTCAGTCTTATGTTATTTTATATTCCACGAATGAGTGCAATCATTCCATGTCTGTCCCTCTGTTTCTGAGTCATTTCATTTAGCATGATACTTTCCATTACTTAAGCAAATTCCACATATAAGTAAATTTCACTACTTTATCTTTCATAACAGCTGCATAGTATTCCGTTTCTTTTTTTTTTTTGCTTTGCACTTTATTACTAGTTAAAGTTGAGCACTTTTCCACATACACATAATTTTTTTGGATTTTTCATTTGTGAATTCCTACTCATTCATGTTTATATTGGCCTGTCCATCATTTCTAAAATATTAGTATAATTAATTGTACCTTTATGGTTTGTTAGATTTTTTCTTTTTTTTATTAATTTTTATTAGTGAAACACCATGAGGTACAGTTGTACAGTTGGGTTTCAATTATACAATGATCAAATACCCATTCCTCCACCAGTGCCCATTTTCCACTACCATGGATAATATCCCTCCCACCCCCACCCCCCCATCCCACCCTGCCTCTGTGGCAGGGCATTCCTTTTTGTTCTCTCTCTCCTTTTGGGTGTTGTGGTCTTCAAAAGAGGCATTGAGTGGCAATCATGTTCGATCCATAACACCACAGTTTCTTTAACCTTTGGTTATCTATTCTCAGGCACTCAGGTTATTTCCAGATTATAGATATGATGAACAGTGCTGCAATGAACATACAGGTGCAGATGTTATTTCTACCTTCAGGATATATTCCCAGAAGTGGCATTGTGGGCTCATATGGAAGCTCAATTTCTAGTTTTGGAAGGAATGCCCATATTGTTTTCCAAAAAGGCTAGACCAGTTGGCATTCTCACTAACAGTGAAAGAGTATCCCTTTCTCCCCACATCCACACCAGCACTGGTTGTTCTTGTTCTTTTTGATGTGTGCCAGTCTCTGTGGTGTGAGATGATAGCTCATTGTTGTTTCGATCCACATCTCCCTGATGATTAGCAATATAGAGCATTTTTTCATGAGCCTTTTGTACCAATAGGTTTCCATTTCAGCTATGGAAGGTGACTCTGCAGTGAAAGTGCTCTGGGTCCTGCCCGACCACTCCCTATCCCTCATCCTAATCCCATAACTCACTCAGCAAGGAGTTCCCAACAGCCATCTGTCCCCAGTGAAGCTGGGTAGCACTTGGGGTCTAGCCATGAACCTTGGGATTTTCAGGGTTAGTGCCAAGTTGTAACACTTGACAAGCACATGGATCTCCAAGAAGCTGTAATTCCTCAGACCTCATTAGTAGCGTGCTTGCCTTGCATGCATGAACTTGCATGAACACATGACTGACCTGTGTTCAATCTCCAGCATCACATGTGGTCCCCTGAACCCTGCCAAGAGTAATCCTGAGTGCAGAGTCAGCAGTAAGCCCTGAACACAGTCAGGTGTAGCCCCCAAGACAAAACAACAAAACTCTGCAGTTCCCAAAATATACCCCTGTTTCAAGTTTCTTTGTATTTGCTCATTTAATTCACTAACTCAGCCCAACATAATTGCTACAAACTTCTCTTGACTATCTAATATACCTTCTCTAAGAAGTCTTCCTTGCTTTTCACCAGCCCCTTCCTGTGGGATCCCATAGGAGGAGGACACCTGTTTGTACAAATGTCACTGTAAGCCATGTTTGCTAACTTGTGGTTCCTCCTCCCTCTCCTTTTGTCCAGGAGCTCCTTGTGGATGGGGCCCATTGTTCCTTACTCTTGGTCTTTCTGCACCTCTTGTTCTTCCTGGGCCCAGAGGAAGCCTCCTCACATCTGAGTGTTCAATCCTACATCCCATCCATCTCAGAGGCACATTATGGCTGATGCGAATGCACAGTCATTGGGTAAAATAACACTAACCCTCTCCACTGAACAGCTTCCTGATGATTCAAATGGGAGCCATGCTGCTCTCTGGCCACCTCTTCTGATTTCCTTTGTGAATTCCTTCTCCCCACCCCACTACCCCGCTTCTGTGTTAGTGTGGTTGTAGGATAATCCTGTCCACTTAAGTGAGCACAGGAACTCTCACGTGGATGACAATGATCCCAGCACTCTCCCCATGGTCTTTGACTCAGTCATTGCCCTCTGCACCTTGATTCTTCCCCATTTTTCTCCATCGAGATTATGTCTATACACATGTGCATGCCAGCCCTCATTTCCCCATGTGTAATCACTAAATGACTAGTAATCCCACAGCTCTCTCTCTTGCCAAGGAGGAAACAAGGGCCAGCCTGGTTGGTGATCAGTTGCTGTTTATTTCATGCGCCCCATGTGCCTGCTCCTGCATTCTTCCCCTACATTCTTCTCCCCTTGTCCCTTTTGCTCAACTCTCTGCACTCAGACTAGTCTCTCTCAACCTCTCTTCATTGGGAGTGGGTCTGGTAGCACAATCAACGTATGAAAGCCCTCAGCTCAAGTGCGAAATATCACTTAGGGCGTGTTTCTCCTCTCCTTAGTCCAAGAGTCATTTAATTAGCATCTTAATTCTACTTCTTACTATTAGTTATTTTGTATGGACACAGTAAGAGAGACATTGAGCTTGTAGTGTGGCTCTACTGGGACATCTTGCTGTAGATCACAGACTACAGTTCTCAGGCCAGATTAGTCTTCCCTAACCCTAGCAGGGTCCTAATCTAGCTGTTACTTGTTGGATCATGACAGAATTTGTCCATGACCATGATCTTAACTTATAGTTAAGTATTATGGCGCTTTGATCTGGCCCATTTCGATGCCAGAGTAGCTCACAGCTTGCCCTGGTCCATCCAGTCCCTCATCGGGACCCTGCTTTTGGAATGCTAGGAAGTAAGGGCAACTGAGGCTTACAGTCGAGATACCAGATGCCCAGGAGAGAATATTATTCAGAGTCAATTAACTCCCAAGTTACAAATGCATAGCATTAACTGTCTTCCTGTGTCTATACAAAAAGTACTTTGCTCTGAATTAGCTATGCAAAGAACTTAAGGATAAGAGAGAAGCAATATTTACAAGTTAACAGAGTCTGATTAGGAGATAAAGGGGATTGACCCATTGGGAAAGCAGAGCACAAAGAAAGAGGTTGCAAATAAACACTGAGGAATGGGAGCACCTCAATGGGAGTAACCCAATAAACCTAAGCTCCCTGTGGCAAGGCAGAAAGGACAAATCATCATTACCCTACAGCCCCAACTGAGAGTCATTCGGCCAGACTGTTGCTCTGTACATCCACACAAGAAGTGTGGATGAACGTGCTGAGCTCAGCCTCTTAGTACTCTACAGGCTTTTAGGGATCTGACAAAGGAGCTCAGATTCTTAAGGATTCTTAAGAGATTTTCATGAGGAGAATTGGCACTTAGGCTTTCCTTGGGATAGGTAGAAACTCAGAGAAATGAAGTGATCAACCTCTTCTTGCTCCTCTCATCTTAAGAAAAGAAATTCACCTCTGTTCAAATAATTTTTCCATCCATTTGAATTAGGCCTGAGTGGTTCTACACTCTCAGCTTTTCTTATTCCCTGGTCTCTTTATACTTTTTCAGCCCTCATCATGAAGATACAGATAAAAGAATGAAAGAAAAAGAGTCACATGAATTGGAACCTCAAAAAATGGAAAAGGACCCACATTTCAGCTACTTTTCCAAGGTATCTGTGTTCTTAGAGTTGAGATCAGGCTTGTAGCGGGATTTTTGGTGGGGTGATGTTTTAAGGGTTGAGGCACACAGTTCTCCAGAAAGGGTCAAAATATGCAGTGGGTGTGGGTATTTGGGGAGTGAAGTGAATGAACCCTAGTGGTCAGCTGTCTATTCATCTGCATATGCAGGGACTAGTGTGAATCCAGCAAGGCACCTGGGCACCAAATGTTTAGAGACATTCGCTCAGGGCTAACCCTGTGGTGTGCGTGGGACTTTCAATTCTGTGACTTAGACCTTGCTGAGAAGTCTGACAAGACTCTGAGTTCTATCATGTAGCTCCCCAATGAACATCCTCACTCCCTCCTGACTGGACCTCGATTGAGATGATAAAATAATGCACATGAAAGGGCTTATAAAGCCCTGAGCTACTATAAAAAGGGCATGTATTGTTGCTTTCATTTACAGTAAACACTGTGTCCATTAACAGTGTCTCCTTCAAAACAGTGTGGCCAGAGTCTTAAAACAGTAAATACCTCTAGGGTAGAACCACTACTTGGAATGTTCCAGATACCCACTGGAGATATGTGTAGCTGATATTAGACAGTAGCAGTGCCACCTGGGGGCCTAAGGAACATGGTATGGTTGAGGCCCACACTGGTCTGAAGACAAAAGGCCAGGCTATTCCAGGCTGTTTATACAATCTCTGCATTATATCTCAAAGATACCAATAACTCCTTAAGAACAACAGGGTTCACAGCCAGGGAACCAACATCATGGGTCAAGGGTTAACATCATGGGTCAAGGTCAGGGGATAGAGCAAGGCCCTAAGTCTGTGCAAGACCAGAGGTCAGGGCAAGGCTGAGTAACAGGCTTGGAGAAAGCTTTTTCTCAGTGCTGGCTAAGAGAAAAAAACCAGAAATGAGGTCAGGCTGCTGCCAAAAGGCCAGAGTCCTTCCCTGAAGTGGATCTGAGTTTTTGAAATAGTTAAAATTTTATTTGGAAAATTGGCAGTAAATGTGGTTGGTCACTTATCTGGACAGTGCTCTTTAGGATCCATGTAAATGACAAGTCAGCAGAGATATGAGCTTGAGATTCAGATCAGCTCTAGGAACACTGCCTAGAGCCACTCTTAGCTAGTCTGTGTTCTGCTTCATCAGAGTGTTGATAAGAACATGAACTTACGGGACTGGAGCAATAGCACAGCAGGTAGGGCATTTGCCTTGCACGCGGCAGACCCAGTTTCGATTCCCAGCATCCCATATGGTCCCCCGAGCACTGCCAGTGGAGATTTCTGAGTGCATGAACCAGGAGTAACTCCTGTGCACTGCTGGGTGTGACCCAAAAAAGCAAAAAAAAAAATGAACTTCCTTCTTTGTCATTTTTTACCCTTTTACATTTTTTCTTGACCATGCAGCTTTTCCTCTTTATCCCCATTTTGCCCCGATCCTATCAAGAACTCAGGAATGTCCATGCCCTATATAGCCCTTAATGACTTTAACTCTTTCTGAGTTTCTCGGCATGTGTTCTTGTATCTACCCGTCTGCTTGGTGTGTTGTGTGTGAGTGTCCACTCTTCTCCCATCACCTTCTGATCATTATCATTATAAAGCACTTAGTGGTCAAGGTATTCCAGTCCCGCCATCAATCACTTCTTGCTACAATCTCCAGCTCTTCCAGAGATACAGCTCCAACGGGGGTTCTTCCCTGCCTGATTCCCCATAATTACAAAGAACAGTTACTCTCCTGCCCTGCATACAAGACTCTTCCTAATGGGGCCCTACTTGTCTTATCTTTCAGCTCACATCCAATTCTTCCAACATTCCCCTCCATCTTGCCTCATTCACCTCTGCTCTGCTCTTGAGCTGTCCCTCTCTCCCTTGTCTTTGCTCATGCTGACTTTTACCTTCTATCTACCAGTTACTCCCAGTATGAAGTATTGTTGGCTAAAACTTGTCTTCTGAAGCCTTCCCCAACCCTGTCTCCTAGTCAGATGACCAGCCCACCTTCTGTCTCCCTGTCAGTTAGCAAAACATTATCAGTCAGCAGAACAATACATTGTATTGTAAGACACCAAGACCCACAAGTGTCTCTTTCTCCAGAGCTTCACATGATGTCTCATCCTTCGTGTCATTGGACAAATTTTGGAGTTAGGGATCATGGAGAGAGGTGAGATGGAACAGAGGAGTGGAGTGGAATATTGGGGTGTCAGGTAAAAGGAACATAGCATCCCTTAGTGGTCTCTGAGCACAAGTCTCGGTGTTACATCCTGCTTTGTCAGGATATGGTCTGTGAGACCAGAGGCCAATTACTTATCCTTTCTAAACTCTTTGTGGAGAGAACTAATGCTGTTGTCCTAATGGAGTGTCATGAATATGCAGTGAACTGGTGCTCCTGCCTCTTGGGGCCTGTCTGGGGCCAGGGGTTCACTGGCCATTTAGAAGTGACTGGAAGGCATGACATGCACCTCTATGAACCTCAGTCTAGTAAGCAGTGATAAGCAGCATGCTATCATCATGAGGAATGAATGCATGTAGAAGACCAGGTATGAATTAAACAACTGAGACAAAATCCTAAAAGACACCCCCCCCCCCACTTTCTGGTGTGTTTAGGTAGGTGCCTGGGGCAAAATGCACGTGACTCAAGTCCACAGAAGTAACAGGAACAAGCTGAACAGACAGCAGGATGCTGTGGCAGATATCATTATCCCGAAGACCCTCCCTAAGGACTTCCAGCTGACCATGCACCCCGAAGGCCACTGTAAGTTGTGCTTCTTCCTGGCTGTCTTTAATTTTATACCTTTATTTAATTTTAGTTGTCAGGCCACACCTGACTATGTTCAGGGATTATACCTGGTTCTGTGCTCAAGGATTACTCCTGATGGTATTCTGGACATCAGATGTGGTACTGATGATTTGAATGTGGTTAGCCATTTGCAGGACAACATCCTTACCCCCATACTCTCTCTGTGGCCCCAAACATTATCATTTTAGAGATTGTGCATGGCCAATATTTTAATTTATTTTATGAATATTTATTGAATATCTAAGCCTTAGCGAAGCAGCAGTAATAGAAAGAACGTTGGAATTAGAAGCAGGAGATCTGAGTGCAAATCTCAATCTGAATTCAAGTGACCTCCATGGTAAGTGGTTTCATATTCCTGCTTCAATTCCTTATGTGTGAAAAGGGACATAATAGGGATCTCACAGAGATTGAGCATGCTACATAATGGGTGCTCAGCAAATATACCTTTCTCTTGCGATCACCCTCTTAAGGTACAGGTAAGGTAAAGGCCCTCCCGTTGATCGTCGATTTGCTCGAGCGGGCCCAGTAACGTCTCCATTGGAGACTTTGTTGTTACTGTGTCTGGCATATCGAATACTCTCGGTAGCTTGCCGGGCTCTCCGAGAGGGGCGGAGGAATCGAACTCGGGTCGGCCATGTTGGCCGCGTGTAAGGCGAACGCCCTACCCGCTGTGCTATCGCTCCAGCCAAAATAAAGGTAAAGGCCCTGAATAAAGGTAAAGGCCCTCTTATTTTATTTTATTTTTTTGTAAGCCCAAGTAATGGACAGGCAGGCAGATTACAAAGTGTATTAGCTGATTGTGTTTAGGCTGCATTTTACGTGTGTGTGTGTGTGTGTGTGTGTGTGTGTGTGTGTGTGTGTGATGTTTGACAAAGGATTCAGGGAATATGTAATTCTTTTATAGATAGCCTTGTATACAAAAGACAAAAAAATATATAAATTAGAAAACTTAGAACTATATGTGAAAAGGCACTTCACTGAAGAGGGAAGCCAAAATGCAAGTCTACTAGGAGAAGCTATTCAGTGTCACAAATCTCAGGCCAGATGGCACCTCTGCCACCTCTGATGCAGTAGCGTCATGGGCCCCTCAAAATGGCTAAAATCAAAAGAACAAAAACAACACATGCTGGTGAAGATGTGTAACAACTCAAACTGCCCAAGTGCTAGGACTGTAAATTAGAAGCACCACTTTGGGAAACTCTGGCAACTATGAAAGCCAGACATATGCACATCGTCTGCCCTAGCAGTTCCGCACCTCCTCCTACCCCCAAAGAAAAGCACGTTTCAGTTCATAGACAACCTTCAGAGCAGAACTTTTTATAATAGCCTCAAACCGAGAGCTGTCCAAGTCATAAGTTGAATGCTAGAATATATTCACACAAGGGAATGATTCTGGGAATGAACAGATTGCCACAGTATACATCAATAGGGATTGTGTCTCAAAGAGCATTGTATGTAATGGGAACACCACAGAGCACTGCTTGAGTGAGTCCACTGATAAAAAGCTCAAAAGTAAGCAGGTGAAAGTAAGTAAAGGAACACACATGATAACCTTTCAGTATCTGTGTTGCAGACCATAGTACCCAGAAGGAGAAAGAGAGAGAGAGAGAGAGAGAGAGAGAGAGAGAGAGAGAAGGGGAAAGAAAGAGAGAAGGAAAGAAAGTGTCTATTCTAGGGGGAGGTGGGTGGCGGGAGAAAAACTGGGATCATTGGTGGTGGAAAATGGACACTGGTAGTGGAAGGATGGGTGTTGGATCACGGTATAAGTGAAACCTGATCATTAGCAGCTTTGTAATTGTGTATTTCACAGTGACTCAGTTAAAAAATTAAAATTAAAAGTGCTTTTTAAAAAAAGTAAGCAGGCTTTATCGTCAGACTGGAAAGACGGTAGTTACCTGTACAAGAGAGATAGTGACTACACAAGCATGTGATTTGAAGGTTCTGGGACACATGTCACTACTGTTTCCATGTATATGCCACCAACACAAATGTTCCATTTGGGACATTCACTGAGTTGTCCTCTTATGACTCATTCTCTTTCTACATACTTTAAAAGTGTGAACATAGCTGACTATCTGCTGTGAGACACAGTGAAATCACCTTCCAAGGAATGAGAAAGAAAAAAAAGCGATCAAGAGAATACAAGACATCATCACCAAAAGATGGAGTGGGGGATAAAGCAAAAAATAGCATGGAATTAGGCCCACTGAAATTTTAAATAATAGTAATCATTATACATGTAACATGCAAAGATCTCTAGTTAACGGCAATATTCATTCAATACTACAAAATATTGGAGTGCCTTTTGTGCGTTCAGCCCTGTTCTAGGTGCTTGGGATATAACAGTAAACAAAACAGTTCCTGTCCTCATGGAGGTTCCATTCTGTTCAGAGGGAGCATCATCCATCAACAGTTAACTACCACCATGTGGAAAAGTAGGAAGTGTTATGGGGGAAATAAAAATGAGGAAAATATAAAATTAATAAATAAAATTAGGGAAATAAAATTAGGGTAATGGGTAGAGGTAGTGGAAGTTGCAGTTATATGTGTATTCGTAGATTACCCAAAGGAGACAAAGAAGAGAGTCAAATGTCTAGAGTAAGAATGTTCTAGGGAGTAGGAAGGGGAAGGAACGAAGGCAGTTTCCTAAGGAGCAGCCATGGCAGGTGCTGGCAGATGAGCTGCAAGACCCCAGCATGGCAGGAACAGAGTGACCAGTGTGCAGGATATGGAGGAGAGTGAGAACAAGATCCCAGAGGATGGAGGGGCTGCTAAAAATCACGGCAAGAATGTCAGTACTTAGATACATCCAAAATCAACAGATCATGATTGACGCATGTGAACAACATGATCTGATGCATGCTTTAAAGAGTCATCATCCTGACAATTGTCTTGAACTGAGAATATAGGAGAATTCAGGAGACCTGTGAGAGTTTGGCGGGATGATGTCGGTAGGGGGTGAGGTAGCCTGCAGGAGGGCGCACTGTGGTAGAGAAACTGAGATGTGTCCGGATTCGAGATCAAATCCAGATGTCTGTGGATTGGTGAGAGAATATGAAGGAGACAGGAGTCAAGGAGAGTGTCAATGTTTTGAGATCTGAATCCCCGGAAGGATGGTGTTGCCTCTTTTTATTCAGATGGGCAGACTTCAGGCACAAACATGTGACGAGAAGTCGTGAGTGTGGTTGGGAATAGAATGTTTAGACAATCCGGTGGAAGTGTCTCAGAGTCTGAGGGCATCTCTAGAATTCGTGAGACGCCCAAATTAGAGATGTAAATGGGGAAGTTGTCTGAGTGTTTAAACTGAAGCCTACGTTTTTACATTTGCCTCAGCCAAAAGGAATGTTTGAGGGGAAGGGAAAATGGGCCTAAAATTGGAATGAAGCAACTGTTTGGAGCATCTTTGTTTTGTGCTGGGGAAAATGTACTGAAAATTCCTTCAGGAAAATGCAGAACCAGCTCACATTGAGAGAGATGTTTGCAGCGTACCTGTTCATTGACTTCTTGTCAGAAGATGCCGTGTTGTTGCATGGTTTGATCAGACACAATTCAATTGTCTCATTTCTCGGATATATGACTTCCTATGTCAAGTTCATATCTAAAAATGGTTTGGAATCACTCATACTTTTAAATCTTGATCTTTGCCAACTGAGGAACAGATGGCTATGAGGACGGGTGGCACTGTGGCTGGAGCGATCCCCTGCATTTCACGGGCTGTAGCTGCTTGTGCAAACAATCCTACTACATTTCCAACCTGCAGCACTCTATTTTGAGCTAATCCCATTGCTGATGAATAATGACTGTTGGCGTGTGCTTTATCAATTTAGGTCTAAACTTAGGTTTAAGGGCGGGGGGCGGGGAGACATTCAAAACTGGTAAAGTCATGTAGATGGAGATCTGGATTCTGCAGCACTTCACTATATCATTTCAGAGATTAGATGAAGATCCCTTAAAAAAAGAGAAAGGAGGGCCAGGTAGGAGTCTTAGCAGTAAAGTAAGGAAAAAGCTGGACAGGAAGCAGGATGCTGTGCCCAGGTGAAAGGAAGTGTGAGTTGCAAGCATCCCCTTTGCTCTGAGTTGCAAGCACGAGATTTGATTTCTCTTCCCCACATCTAGTGACCTGTTTACTAGATACCTAGCACCCATCATAAAAATCCATTAATCCTGGTGGTGGAAAATGGGCACTGGTGGACAGATGGGTATCTGATCATTGTATAATCGAAACCCAAGCACAAAAAATTGTAAATCTACAACTGTAAAAAAAAAAATAAAATAAAGGGAAAAATTTTTTTTAAAAAATCCATTAATCCTTGCTACTGAAGAGCTATTGTTTCCATCAGCCCACCTCCAGTGAATTTTCGCAGATATTGCAAGATGAGAAGGCTTGCCTAACACTCAGAGATGTCACGTTTATATTCTGGTTTTAGCACTTTCAGGCCACATGTTCAAGTCATGCCCCAGCCTGTGATGTAAACGTGTTTAAGAATGCAGCTGATTCTTAGAAAAGATGAAGCCATGAAATTTACATACAAGTGGTACAATATGGAAAGTATCATGCTAAGCGAAATGAGTCAGAAAGAGAGGGATAGACATAGAAAGATTGCATTCATCTGGGGGATATAAAGTAACAAAGTATGAGATTAATACCCAAGAATAGCTGAGATCAGCACCAGGAGGATTACTCCATAACTTAGAGGCCAGCCGGGTATCCTAGAGGAAAGGGCAGTTCAGATAGAGAAGGGAGCACCAAATAAAGGATGTTTGGAGGATCCTCCCAGGAGGGGAGATGCATGTCGAAAGTAGACTATGGACTGAACATGTTTGCCACTCAATGCCTCTTTTGCAGACCACAACACCCAAAAGGAGAGAGAGAACACAGGGGATTGCCCTGCCACAGAGACAGGGGGGATGGGGGGATGGGGGTGGGAGGGATATTATCCATGGTGGTGGAAGATGAGCACTGGTGGAGGGATGGGTATCTGATCATTGTATGATTGAAACCAAAGAAAAAAATTGTAAATCTACAACTTTAAAAAAAATAAAATAAAATAAAGGGAAAAAAAAAAGAATGCAGCTGATATACTGGTCCTCAAATGGATTCTCTATTTTTTCCTTCCACAGGTGGGTATGTGGAGGCCTTGGAGTTGAAGTGTGAAACTCCAGGTCAAGTGTTCTTTCGGACAAAATCCCCGCTGGAGGAGATGTATGATGATGTAGAATGCCCCAGCAGAAAGGGGTAAGTCTGTTTCAGCAACATAGTCAGACTTTTGATGAATGGGATCACTTCAAAGGTCTTTGTATCTTTTTCTTCCCTCAGACAAAAGTCAGACTTGTCTAATACATCTGCTTCAGATAGTGGTAAGTATAAGAGAACATTTCTGAAACTGTCCATATGAATTACTGTGTAGCTAGTACATGTGTTTAATTTACACATATTTTTTTTAAAAAAATAACATGAATTGGATAGGGGAAGTTAAGAATGTGTTCCCAAACATGTGCTCATAAGTGCATTTAGAATCACGGTGACGAAAATGCTCATAATGGGTTTTGTTTTGGGTTTCATTTTGGAGGCCACACCCAGTGATGCTCAGGGGTTACTCCTGGTTCTATATTCAGGAATTACGCCTGGCAATGTTTGGGGGGTCATAGGAAGTGCTGGGGATTGAACCAGAATCAGCTACATGCAAGGCAAGTGCACACCTGCTGTACTATTGCTCCTGCCTCATAGTGAACTTCTATCACAGAAAGCAAGTTCGTAGCAGGGGAGGGGAATATCTATCCCCAGGCTGTAGAAGGCCCTGGAATCCTAGTGCATGGCAGGGCAGACTTATTTGCTTCTTATCAGCTGCCCTTGGCCCATCTGCCTGTACAGTTTGGTCTCTATACGCTGTTATAAATATCCAGAGAAAGGTTCCCCTCCCCTTGAACTATAGGAACAGTTTTTACTTCAGACATTTTCATGGCTTCCCAATACCACCGGGCCGGTGGGGGGGGGGGGGGGGAGTTTAGGTTTTAGAAACACACCTTTCAGTGCTCAGAAGCTATTTCTGTCTCTGCACTCAGGTGCTACCCCTGTAGGTGCCCTAGGGACCATACAGAGTAGTGATGGGGATTTGGACCAGGGTCAGTGGGATGCAAGGTAAAGGTTTTAACATCCTATTCTAGCTCTCTGGACCAGCTTCCAGATACTTTTAGGAGTGACCTTAATGTGGTCTTGAGGATGGAGTGGCTTATGCTACCTCCTCTCCACCTCTTTTCACACTCTGCTCAACTTCTGATAGATGTCGTGCTGATTTTTCAGCTTCTCTGACTGCCATGTCGTTTGCTAGCACTGATGCTCCCTCTTCCTGCAGGGCCTCTCCAGTGCCCCCTTCGTCTAGGGGAATCACTCTTTCTTCTGAGCTCAATCACCTCCTCTTCCCAACAAGAGAAGATTCTCTTTGCTATGCCATTTCCTAGCATTATGGCTCTGTTTTTGGTATTCATAGCATTTGTCACCCACAGCTATCATTTTACAGCCATATGAGTCTGTTTTTAATTTTAATTGTTTAAATTGAATCATCATGCAATACACAGTTATAAATTTGGGGCGATAGCAATAGTGCAGCAGGTAGGGCATTTGCCTTGCACACAGTGGATCTGGGTTAGATCCCTGGTATCCCCTGTGAGCACCGCTGGCAGTAATTCCTGTGTGTAGAGCGAGGAGTAATCTCAATCATCGCTGGGTGTGTCCCAAAAAGCCAAAAACAAAAAATTGTTCATGATTAGGTTTCAGTCATACAATGTTCCAGCACCCATCCCAGTCATGTGAGTTTTTAATGAAACCGCCTTCCCTTCTAGCTATCTAACCATCTTTATCCTTACCATTTCCCTAAGCTTCTAGCATTTCAGATCCATGTGAAATATTACTAGGTACTTGTTGAGGAGGTCAGAGATAATACAGGGTTAAGGTGTTTGCCTTGCACGCAGTCAACCTCTTTTGTTTGTTCCCAAACAAAACAAAATGTAAAAATAAAAAGTACTTGTTGGATCGATTCATGTAAAAATAATAGAGGAGGGATAATGAGATGTTACTCTTATTTTTTTTTGTTCCTTCTTACAATGGCAGAATTTTAGAGAAACCATTTCAAAGATCATTCAGCCCAATATTCTCATTTTAAGAAAGAAACCAAGGCAGAGAGAAGCGATTCTCCTAAGTGAGTGCAAAGCCAGGAGTAAGTTCCAAGTACCATAGGGTATGGCTAAAAAAAAAATGTTTGTATGTTTCAATAAAAGATACATAAAATGTAAAGTGGAACTACATGGAACTAAATAGTTACTAAATAATACTGCTTTTGTAATAAGTGATGTTTTTTTTCTTTAATTTCAGAAGAAAATGGTAGAGAAATGTATGAAGATGTCTACAAAACAAAAAGCAACTACCCAAAGATAGAGTGAGTTACCCTCTTTCTAGGTTTTGTAGCTCATGAAATTTCCTGTTAATCTAGAAAAAAGAGTTTAAGAAAACCCTCTTCTTTATCCCACTCCCATCTTCAGAGCAGAAATAAGCTACTGTAATGCTACATTGTGATCAAATAATGCTTATAAATGTGTCCCTGTGCTACAAATCTTGACTCACATTGTTTTAGTTTTTGAGAAAATGTATAGCTCTCAATGTTGAGGGCTTCGCTCGTTATAAAATTTTTGTGAGAATTTGTTTAAAATTTTGTGAGAAAAGAGAAGGAAGTAATAGTAAGCTTGTTTCAATTTTATAATTTTTTAGGAAGAAATCAATGATTATGACTTGCTTATGTCTTGCAAGTGGGAATCCCTGTATCTCTGGGATTTTTGATTTAATTTAACATCTGATAATTCATTTTTACCAAGAATAATGATATATGAAGTGTCAGAGAGACAGTTCAGAGGTTAAGGTTAAGTTAAAGCTAAATTAAGATTAAAGTCAAGATAGTTCAGATGTCATTTTCCTTGCAGGTGACCTACCCTGGTTTGATCCCTGGCAAATGCATATGGTCCCCTGCAGTTGACCATAGAGCCATCAGGAGTGTCCCCTTAAGATCCATAAAGTGTGGCTCAAAGCCCATCCCCTATTTAAAAAAATACTAATTTTGATAAAAAAAGGTTCTAGCTTGTAACTCTTTTCATGGTTTTGCTTTTTCAGTGATACCTAGATATCTTCATAACATTACCTTCCTGTCCAGTCATTGTATGCCTTTATGATGCTCTGAGAAAAGGGAAATTCTGAAAATGGGGGAAAATAATTTGTTAAAATGGCCAGTATTAAATTTACTTATTTTTTTCAAAGTAAAATAGTTTTACTTCACTGTCACTGTCCTCCCGTTGTTCATCGATTTGCTTGAGCGGGCCCAGTAACGTCTCCATTGTGACAATTGTTACTGTGTTTGGCATATTGAATACGTCACGGGTAGCTTGCCAGGCTTCGCCGTGCAGGTGAGATACTCTCGGTAGCTTACCGGGCTCTCCAAGAGGGGCAGAGGAATTGAACTCGGGTCGGCCATAAAAATATGAAAGAAGAGTCAAACAGAAAGACAGACAGGAAAAAGCTTGAGAGAGAGGAGAGAAAGGGGAGAGGGCTCTTACCCCGACAGGAAAAAGCCAAGAAGAATACACATCTCAGACTAAGATGTCGTTGAATTTCTAAGATGGAGAATGCACCCAGTTGGTGCTCAGGGGCCATTCATGCTGAGATCAAACTAGGGTCCTTATATATGCCAGGCATATGCCCTTAACTCCTGAGCAATCTCCCATGCACTTGGAAGAATTTTTAAGCACTGGAGTAGTGAATGTGCCACCATTGTATTATCAGTTACATTATTTTCAGGAGTTAGGAATTCTTGTAGTGGATCTCATAAACTTTTTCTAGTCTATTTCTAGTAGCTTTGTGCCACTGTCCACTACAGTCCTCCGCTCTACCAGCTGAGCTATCGAAGGCTGGTGCGATAGCACAGCGGTAGGGCGTTTGCCTTGCACGCAGCCAACATGGCCGACCCGAGTTCGATTCCTCCGCCCCTCTCGGAGAGCCCGGCAAGCTACCGAGAGTATCTCGCCCACACGGCAGAGCCTGGCAAGCCACCCGTGATGTATTCGATATGCCAAACACAGTAACAACAAAGTCTCCAATGGAGACGTTACTGGGCCTGCTCGAGAAAATCGATGAACAATGGGAGGGCCTTTACCTTTTGGGGCTGGAGTAATAGCACAGCGGTAGGGCGTTTGCCTTGCACGCAGCCAACATGGCCGACCCGAGTTCGATTCCTCCGCCCCTCTCGGAGAGCCCGGCAAGCTACCGAGAGTATCTCGCCCACACGGCAGAGCCTGGCAAGCCACCCGTGATGTATTCGATATGCCAAACACAGTAACAACAAAGTCTCCAATGGAGACGTTACTGGGCCCGCTCGAGAAAATCGATGAACAATGGGAGGGCCTTTACCTTTTGGGGCTGGAGTAATAGCACAGCGGTAGGGCATTTGCCTTGCACGCAGCCAACATGACCGACCCGAGTTCGATTCCTCCGCCCCTCTCGGAGAGCCCGGCAAGCTACCGAGAGTATCTCGCCCGCACGGCAGAGCCTGGCAAGCTCCCCGTGACGTATTCAATATGCCAAACACAGTAACAACAAAGTCTCCAATGGAGACGTTACTGGGCCTGCTTGAGCAAATCGATGATCAACGGGACGGCCTTTTTTTTTCTAGTAGCACTGTAGCACTGTCCTCCCCTTGTTCACCGATTTACTTGAGCAGGCACCAGTAAGGTCTGCATTGTGAGACTTGTTACTGTTTTTGGCATAGTAAATATGCCACGGGGAGCTTGCCAGGCTCTGCCATGCAGGCGGGATACTCTCGGTAGCTTGCCGGGCTCTCTGAGAGGGGCGGAGGAATCGAACCCAGGTGAGCTGCATGTATATTTCATAAATGTTTCCTTAGATATCTTCTTTAGAAGGAAGATATTACTCCTTAAGGTCTGCAAAATAGAGTTCATTTGGGGTAAAGTTTAACTTGAAATAGAATTCCCTTCACAGCTGGCTGGTAGGTGCTACTCCATATAGGTATCAAAACAAAGGGACGTCTAGAGAAATGAGGCTTGCTGGGTCTCAAGCAGGGTGTATGTGGGATATGGGACTGAATTTCTTCATCGTAGCCATCTTCATCTCGGGTCCTTTCAAAATATATCCTCTAATTTATCTCAGTTTAGATGGAAAAGAAGCACTGAAAAGACTGCAAAGATTCTTTAAGAAAGAAAAGGATAAACTTAAAATGAAAAGCAAGTCAAAAGGAAAAATGAGGTAAAGTTCATTTTTTGCTTTTCTCTTCCCTGGGAAGGGTTAGCAGCGATCAGTGACATCCATGGCATTTCAGAAGCTAGAACCAACAGCCCTGGTTCTCACTCACCTTTTAGCCAATTTTTGAATGAACCACATTCACAGATAATAAAGTGAAATATCCAATGGCCCTTCCGGAAAAAAATAAAAAGATGAGAAAATATTGTAAAAGGAATATTAAACCACAGGCAGCAAGGAATCTTTCCCCGTCATCCTTGGTGTATGTTTCAGTTATTATTACTCTTAGGCTGTTTTCTACCCCCTTTTCATGCTCTTAGCACTACAAGTTTCAGTGATTTTTGTCTACACTTCCAAGCTCTAATCAGTCTCTGTAGAGAAATTTTGGTGATGAGGGCAAGCTTTTCAGTTGGGTGGTTTATGTACCTTAAAGTCTTGAACCTGGAAAGGCCCTGCCAAGATCATTAGGCGTGTTTGGGAAGGAATCACGTTAGCCAGCAGGAGAAAAAGTGACCTGGATTTAGGATCCCTGTTTTAGCTCTGCTCTTTACTGCTTGTACATCCCGAGGCCGACTGTTTCCTTTTTAGACCCACAGGGTCCAGTTTCTTTTTCTTTTGCACATAATGGAGGGGAGATTGCAGACCCCAGATATATTTATATATAATTTAAAGATACTGGTCTGTATTTTTTAGGGAAAAACTGGTAAAAATGGTCTGTTTAAAGTCATTAGGTATGTTGCATGTTGTTATTGTACACTGAAGTTCTTTCCAATTATGACACATCAAAGTATGGTTGTCTGTTGAAATTGGATCTGAGAGATGTCTTCATCCCCCAAATATATTTATTAACTAATCCTGAAACTTGAAGAAGAGGAAGGTTAGTTCTAGGAGTCAGAAATCTAAGCAAGGCACAAGGCATTGACCTTAGTGTATTAGATGCTACACACAGAGAAGAGAGAGAGAGAGAGAGAGAGAGAGAGAGAGAGAGAGAGAGAGAGAGAGAGAGAGAGTATTCCTAGGCTACTCCAGTCCTTGAAAATCTGATGCATCTAGGAATGCTGATATTCTTCTATGTAAATCTGATTTCCTCAGCACTCTTCAGTAACTCCCTTTGACTTTCAAAACAGACACCTAATCTCTTCTCATGGCAAGTAACTACCTGAGGGTGACTCTTCCTCACCTCTGTCCCATCCACACACTCTACACCTCTGACTCTACCATGGCTTGTGCCTCCTGGCTCTAACCATGAAGTTCTGGGTCTGAAATGCACCATCCCTCTTCCAGTCTCCCTTGAATATCAAAATTCTAGTTTTCCCTTAAATATTCCTTTGGTCTGGGACACCTTCCTGAATCTCTGGACCCAACTCTGAACCCCTGGTCTTTCCTCTGCATTCCCATCATGGGATGTGCCTGACTGAGAAGCTTTTCCTATCACATCACACTCCCACAGTATCGCCTTCATCGAGATGTGAGAACCAAACAATCTGCATGGGCTGCCTCCTCCCACTCAATGATTTACTCTCTTCCATTTCCATCTGGCCTGGAATTCTCCCCCTTGTTACCCTTTGACTTAAACATCTACATAGGCGGGGAATGGAGTCTGTAGGCCTTTCTTCCGCCATACTTCTCTCACTTTGGATGCATTCTTCACATTGATATCTTAGAAGGTGAGAAGACAGACAAAGGAACCTGTGAACGGAAGGGCAAGGTGTAGGAGACAGGTGGTTGTTGAGGTCAGAACAGAGGTCTAATAGAATGACTGCACTCATTCGTGGAATATAAAATAACATAATGGGAGACTAGCACCCAAGGATAGTAGAGATAAGGGCCACGAGGATCGCTTTATGGCTTGGAAGTGAGCCTCACATGCTGGGGGAAAAGGCAGCTGAGATAGAGAAGGGAACACCAAGTAAATGATGCTAGGAGGGCTCGCTCAGGATGGGAGATGTATGCTGAAAGTAGACTATGGACGAACATGATAACCATTTAGTACCCGTATTGCAAATCATAACACCCAAAAGGAGAGAAACAGAGTAAAAGAGAATGTGCCTGCCAGAGGCAGGGGGTGGGAGCTGGGGAGGGGGGGGTGTGGGAGGAATACTGGGAACATTGGTGGTGGAGAATGGGCACTGGTGGAAAGATGGGTACTTGATCATTGTATGACTGAAACATAGTCAAGAAAATTTGTAATTCTGTAACTGTACCTCACAGTGATCCATTAAAAAGAAAGAAAAAAAAGAAAGAAGGTCTAGGGAATCATTTGGGATAAATAAGCCTTCCTTTAAAAGGTTGTTGGTTGTGCTAAAGTTTGTGTCATCCCGTATTTGTATTTGCCATAAGCATCAGTGTCAAGAAAGCTAGTCAGCAGTGTGTTATTTGAGATGTACCAACTAATCTCTGCTGGCCATGGCTTTCCCCCTTAACCCATTTGTTCCTTGTTTTCAACCAACAAACAGCTCATTTTCCGTTTCGATGCCTGACTTAGGTAAGTGACATTTGCTTATTATTGGCACAGAACTACTCAGGGGATATTCAGGAGGTGGGAAAAATATGTAGTCATCTTCCCTAAATTATACATTTCATGAAAAACTGATAGATCAAAGTCAAAGATGGCATTTTACACAACTATATTAGTTGAAAGGAAGATGAGTCAATGCGATATGACTCAAATGACTACTCTATACCAGGTCACCCCAGAAATAGATGTTATCCCACATCCCGACTTTAAAGATCCAGGATTTGTACTCCTGTACTCTCTGATTGCCAGGCTTGTGCATGATACATTATAATGCTGTCTCCTGGGGCATATGACAGCCAGATCACAGTAATTAAGACATAGTTGAACATGATCGTGTTGCAGTACACATACTAATTGAAGCAAGTAAGGATTACTGAAACAATATTTGCTTTGCTGTAAAAACAAAGGAGCACAAAATTAACACAATGCCTGACAGTCTGATCTCACTAAAGGTACAGTACACTGAATTTTCTTGTGAGAGAGAGCCCTGTAATTAATTTGTTGGCTTTTGTTTGTGGACCTTAGCCACAGCTGGCTACTTAAGTTTCACTCTGAATTGATAATTCAAGTATATTTATATTATATTTCACAAATAGCGAACACTGTTCCAGTAATCACAAATCTCCTAAAAATATTCTTATGTACAAATTAAAAAAATCAACGTGCATTATAGGTGTATCAATGTATAGGTGTAAGGCAGATAGGGAGTTGGCCTTGCACATGGTCCTCCAAGCACCACCAGAAGTGATCCCTGAGTATAGAACCAGGAATAAGCACTGAACACTGCATGGTATGACCCCAAATAAACAAATAAACAAAAAAAATCAATGTCGAATTGGCCTCCTTGAAAATTTAATATTAATTGAATAAGGATTATGACTAGTTGTGCATTAAAGTCTCAAAAAACTTGTTCAAGTGGTGACTCACATGAACATAATAGATTATAATATAGATTCACCAAAGAATATGATGATGCTAAATTGAAAATGTTCAATTATGATTGTTTATTAAATTCAATTTTATGCAAGATTATAAAAGTGCAGGTGCAAGTGGTTTGAAATAAAAGTCAGATGAGACAAATCAACATTAATGTTCTAGGAAACTGCTTTTCCATTGGGAATTAAACCCCTTCTCCCTTATTTTAGCAGTTGTAACAGTTTTTTCCAGTAAGAAGATAGGAACCTAATCTAAAAATCTTTTCAGCAACTCATTTTCTGAAAAGCTGCAGAAATCAAATATATATGTAAAATATGTATCCATTTAAAATAGACATCTATTAATCCTTCAATTGAATCTTATCAAAAGGGATATTTTTGTGTTCTTAGTCCTTCCAACCTATTTATATTCTAAAATCAAATTATTGAGAATGCACCCTGTAATTGATTATTATGTACAATTTGGAAAGTGAAAGGTCATATAAACCATCACTAAAAATGGACTATTTTGATCTACTTGATCCTAGGAATCAGGACCCAGGAAGTTACTATCTATGATGATGTGGACATAAATGAGAAAGAGTCAAAGTAAGTCAATTTTCCTCCTATCATGCCTGCTTATATTTAAACTTTTTTAAGTGCATGTCCATGTTTTATGTTATTAATTTTTTTATTGTAACACGGTGATATACACAATTCCAAAGCTGTTCATGATTGGGTTTCAGTTACACAATGTAATAACACCCATTCCTCCACCAGTGTATATTTCCCACCACTAATGACTCAAATTTCCCTCCCACCATCTTCTACCCAGCCTGCCTCTATGGCAGGCACTTTTCTTCTTTCTCTCTCTCCTTTTGTTAACCCAAATCTTGATGATTTGTTAAATAACAATCTTTGAAAATCGTAATCATTCTATGTTCCTATCTAGCCACCTGTTTTCTAGCCACCTTTGCTCTCGACTAAATCACTTGCCAGCTCAGCTCAGTTCTTTTCCTATCATACCAATGAACTTATTCGTGTAAAGTCACTATCACTGTCACTTTCCTAATAATTTTTTGGTTTGGGGGCCGGAGAGACAGACAGTACAGCAGTTAGGGTGTATGCAAGGCAAGCTGCTGTACTCGCATCACTCCTTGGTGCTCTCTATTCTGGCTTCATCTTATTTGGTGGGACTGGGAGCAGACTGTGTGTGGGACTTAACCTGAATGTAAAATGTTACCATGTGTTATGAAAACCTTTTCCCCATCTCCAAAGAAGGGCCTTTTCCCAGCATTCCTCTGCCAGATGAGGAGGCAGCCCAGGGCTTAGTACCACACTTCAGGGAGAACTAGGATCTTCCTAAAGAATGTTTCGGAAGGAAGGGTGGTAGCAGAATGTGTGTTAGAATAGTTAAAACCATCCAAATGAAAGATGATCAAAATATGTTCAAGCATAGAGAAATAAAGAGAAGATATGGCCTAGTTTGTATATACCAGGTCTTTATAGGTATTAGAGGAAATTTGCTGAAACTGCTGTTGTTAGATGATGCAGATCTCTGCTCTTTGTTTCATTTCCTTTCTGGAGTGATAGCACAGCGGGTAGGGCGTTTACCTTGCATGCAACCAACCCGGGTTTGATTCTGTCCCTCTTGGAGAGCCCGGCAAGCTACCGAGAGTATCTGCCTGCATGGCAGAGACTGGCAAGCTCCAAGTGGCATATTTGATATTCCAAAAACAGTAACAAGACTCTCAAGGGAGATGTTACTGGTGCCCACTCGAGCAAATCGATGAACAATGGGAGGACAGTGCTACAGTGCTATTAATTTATTTAGTATTTTGGTGTTGGGGCCCGCACACAGCAGTTCTCAGAACTTACTCCTGGCTCTGCGCTGAGAGAGCAGCTTGGGGGAAAATATGTGGTCTGGGGATCAAACATGCAAGCGCCCTACCTGCTGTACGATGGCTCTGGCCCCAGCATTTCCTTTCTTTAACTGGGCTATCTTCTAGAGTCTGCAAGAAAGGGTTAATGCTAAATGGACTAGTCTTGTCTCGTGGTAGAGGTTTATTATTCAGGTTTTAGTGGAGAGAAACTGAGGCTCAGAGACAAACAAGGTTACAATCAGGCTAGTCTCTGACTTCTGGTATTATATTTGGATCACTGCAGATCAGCAGTCAGCAAACTATGGCCTATGGGTCAAAGAGCCTTCCTCTTGTTGTGGGTACAGTTGCAACCATAAAATCGGGCAGTTGCCTTAGAAATGACTTGAAAGCCTGAAATATTAACACACATACAAATCTGTATATGTTTAAATATACAAATATGCATTTCTAGAAATCTCTTAAATACTTTTATAAAACACAATTTTCCGGATGTATTGATGGTTCTACAAATGTTTTCATCTTAACTTGCTGAAAACATTTTTCTCCTCAGAGATGACGATAAACAGAAAACATGGAAACCCAAGTTTTTGATGGCAAAGGAGAAAAAGGAGAACAAAGGTGCTGAAGTGACAGAAAGGTGAGTGCACAGGAGCACTGGTTCATAGCTCATCTGCTGCAAGTCATCTCTCTCACAAGCTATGTGAGAGAAGCATGTCATTCAGTTTGAGTCTGATTCTTTGTATATAAAATCCAAATAATAATACCTATAATATAGAGAGGGCTGGAGCGATAGCACAATGGTAGGGCGTTTGCTTTGCACACAGCCAACATGGCCGACCCGAGTTCGATTCCTCCGCCCCTCTCGGAGAGCCCGGCAAGCTACCGAGAGTATCTCGCCCACATGGCAGAGCCTGGCAAGCTCCCCGTGACGTGTTCGATATGCCAGACACAGTAACAACAAAGTCTCCAATGGAGACGTTACTGGGCCCGCTCGAGCAAATCGATGAACAATGGGAGGACAGTGACAGGACAGTGATAATATAGTGCAAGTGAGTGAATTAAAAATACAAAGAATATGAACATTTAAAATTGTCATACAAGTGGTTTCCCCTCATTATCACTCCTGCTAGGTAGAGAGGGGTAAAGTAAGGTTTAAAGTCAGCCTTTGTCATGTGATGAAAACTTCCAGTCTTCATTTAGATTGTAAGAACTTTAAGACAGAACTTTAATAAAAACCCAATTAGAACCTAGATGAAAGTTTGTGTAAAGAAACTAGTTATTGCATATTGATGGGTTTCCATAAAATAATGTAATTTTGGTTATGGCCACAGTCCTGTTAGAGAGTCCTCTATAGACTGGCCTTCATTCATGATTCAAATTACCTAGCTGGCTATGATGATGGAGTTTTTAACTGTTTCAGGTGGCGACTTAATACTCTTTTTCTCCAGTCTTCTCAATTGCTAGGCAACAGATAGGGCCTGAAATGCTTCAACAAATGCCTTGGAGAAACACTTGTTGAATTGTTGAGCTTGGAATGCTGCAGAGTCTGTTGTGGAAAACTGTCTAAAACACATCTACATAGCACCCCAAAATGAATCAGTTATCAGTCCTTACAAAATTCAGTTAGAAGGCTGGGCCTTCCCTTAGGATTTTAGCTGCATTTGTGGTCTAGAAAGGTACCTTCTTATCTTAAACTTTATACTTCTAGAGGTCAGAGAAAACAGTAGGTGAGACTGCTTCCCTTCCATGCAGCTGACTGGGATGTGATCCCCATTATCACATGGCCCCCTTGAGAGCAGAATCAGGAGGAAACCCTGACCACAGCTAACTGAGACTAAGCCAAAAACCAACAAACACCACCAGAAATCTCCTTCATAGTCTACATACTTTATTTGTGGGCCACTTTGGGTGGCATTCAGGGCTTTCTCCTGATTTGCTGCTCAGGATCACTCCTGGAGATGCTTGAGGGCCCATATGTAGTGTTGGACATTGAACTGGGGTGAGCCGTGCACATGGCAAGTGCCTTAACGCCTCTGTTTTCTCTATGGGCCCTCTACATAACTTTTGCATAGCATAGCAAGGCCAAACTCAAGAGCAAGTACTGTTTTTTATTTTTCCTCCTCTCTCTCCTGCCAAAAAGCTTTTTATTATCATAATGACTATGTAATAAGTCTTTGGGGGGAACAATTCATTGTGATTTTTAAAATTCTCTTAAGACAAAATGCTATAATATTTTACCTTTATTCTGAATAAATCTGAAAATGCAGTACTAAGGCTGTCATTATTCCTGCACTGATACATGTTTTTGAACTTTTTTCCCTTCTGAACCAATATGTAATATTGGTTCAAAAGAAACACATGCTTTATTGGACATCAGTCCAACCACTTTATTATCCCTTTATTAATCAGACATGATGACATGCTTCCATGAAGTTGTGAAATGGTACCCCAGGTATGAGGGCTTGGAAATGAGAGCCCATACTTTTGCATAGCACAGCAACGCAAAAGTCAAGAGAAAATTCTGACTTTTATTTCCCTCTTCTCTCTCCCTCCAAAAAGCTTTTTACAATAGACGTTCCAGGTAACTTCTGCATGAATAAAGGGAGATGGAGAGGGAGACCGGGACTAGGTTGTGGCAACCCTGTGTTTCATAATAAGGATGCTGACTTTATCTTTTAGGCAGAGAAGTGGGATTGAAAGATTTTAAGAGAACAGAATTGTTTAAATTGTAGAAAGAGTTCTCTGGAGTCAGGAATGCAGATAGAGTCAAATAAGGAGATGCTAGAGAAAAATGGCATTTTGCACAGTGGGCACAGCTTGAGAAAAGGCAGTGGCTTGGAGAGAACCAGTCAATGTAGGGGACACTGCTGAATGAAACTCAGGATATGCCTGACTCCATTCCTACTGTTTGTATGATACTGCTGAGGTGAACCTCACACGAACAGATGGGCAGGGAAAGAAGAAATAGGAGAGTGATCGGATTCTGTTAGACTATTGACTTTTGTGTGCTGAAAATTTGTATACATACTGTGTGGCATTTTCTTTTAATTTCTTAATCTTCCCTCCAAAATCATTTAGCAATCTACAGGCACATAGATTTGTGACTCCCAGTTAAGTCCTTTGAATAATCTGAGGATGAGTGGAAATTTTACACACATGTCTCTTTTCATAACTTAACTATGCCTCTAAGTCAGAGAAGTTTCTTGTTTAACTTAAATCCAGTCACTGTGATTTTATTCCAAGTTACATGTTATCAATTTGAGGGAGAGGTTGTGTATGTGTTTCCATTTTACTTTAGGTATTGTGATTTACAATATTAATAATGGCAGGGGGTTGTGCGTAAAACCTTCCAACACCACACCCTCTCCCAGAGTGTCATCTTCCATCCCATTGCCCCAATGTTCTACCCACTTTCCCCTACCCTCTTTAGTTGTCTTTACTATTTGCTCTAGGGGAATGAGTGCATTCCACATTTGATTTTTCTTTTTTGGCTTTTGAGCTACAGCCAGTGTTCTCAGGGCTTAGTCCTGGTTTAGAACTCAGGGATCACACCTGGCAGGCTCAGGGGACACTGTGTTGTGCTGGGGATGAAGCCCAGTCAGCTGCAAGCAAGGCAAACACCCTACCGTCTGTACTCCGACCCCAACAAATTTGATTTTCTGTAACATGATATACACAAACTCAATATACCCTAATATAGGCCAGCTTCACAGTTTTAGAGACTTAAGAGTTTTATTACTGTACATTTAACCCTACCAATATGTTTCTTGCCAGTTTATCTCCTAGAAATTTCTTCAAAATCAAGAAGCAAAACTTTAAAAAGAACAAAATGGAAAAAGAAGAAAAAATTTTTAGGGAAAGATTTGAGGTAAGTTATCTGACAGTAAAAATTAACCATAGTAAAGGCTAGGAATTTGAGTTTTAAAGATTCTAGAAGTGTGTTACTCCTCTGCCTCTCTGGGAAAAAGATAGGGATCTTTGACTAAGAAGTTGGCGCTGGGATTGCAATTTGTGTTAATTAAACCATATCCAAGTCTGACCCACCAGTGGTGCAGCATACTGGCGTCGACATGTTAAAATGTATGTTTCGTAGCCAAATAGGATGTATGAGCCTACCCATAAGGGGCTAAAGAGTGCCATCTAGGAATATAGGTGTGTAAGAGATTTAAAAACTTGAAATCAGTGGTTTTCAATTGGGAGTCCACAGGTGTGAAAAAGTTGAAAAATCAAAGCTCTAGAGCCTAGCTTCTTAAACTGTGGGTCACATAACCGAATGGAAGGGAGAGATAGTGCATAAAAAATGTGGTAATAGTAAAAAGTTCTTGCACATACAATGATCAAAATTTAATTAAAACTCAACTATGTAATGAATCCAAGGAGTTTCTGGCTCTTCTGTGTTGCATTTCTCAGGCAAAAATGGGTTTTAAACAGAGTAAGTTTGAGAGGCAGACAGCAGTAGTAGACAAAGAGGGTCTTGCCCCCCGCTTTTCAGCTCCTCCTTTCCTGGTTTAGTCTCACTTTCTAATTGTTAACAGTTAACATATTAATGATGGTACTTAATTTTCTACTCCATTGCGCAAACTTCTCTTCCACCACTTCTCATACCAGTACAATTAGGTACCACTTTTTTTTAATAATATAATCATGACACATGAATGGAAGAATGTAGTATTTAACTGTTACTTCCTTAAATAATATTTCTACTTAATATCATAATTATCTTCTATTCCTTTAGGTGCTTATTATCTAGCTTGAGTTAATATATTGTGTCCTCCATTAATTTTATAATAATGGAAGAATAACTGCAACTATAGTCTAATAACTTCTTATTTCAGTATAACAAAGAGATTACAGTCATCAACACGGCAGTGGCATCTTCCAGTAATTCAAGAAATGGAATATTTGATTTGCCAATTACTCCTGGAGAAGAACTGGAAGTTATTGATATCACTGAAGAAAATCTAGTGATATGTCGTAATTCTAAAGGCAGATGTAAGTTTTATCACCCATAAAATTTCCGCCATTATTTAAATAAAGTATCAAAGCAATATTCTGTAAATAACTGTGAATTTTATTTCAATAGATGGCTATGTGCTCATTGAACATCTGGATTTTAAGTAAGTGGTTTGATTTTTTTATTTCAAATAATACATTTTCAATATTGATATACCTTCATACATATTGGTCTCTTGGGAAAAAAACTTTTTTTTTTTTTTGGCTTCTGGGCCACACCTGGCTGTGGTTCAGGGCATTTGGCAGGGCATGGAGGACCATATGTGGTGCTGGGGACTGAACGTGGGTTAGCTGCATAAGGTCATGGGCCTACCCTGATGTATTATCTATTTGGCCCAGAAAAATAAAATTTTAATATATTAAGTGCCTAATATGTATAATATATTATGAGCGATAGCACAGTGGTAGGGCGTTCGCCTTACAAGCGGCCAACATGGCCGACCCGAGTTCGATTCCTCCGCCCCTCTTGGAGAGCCCGGCAAGCTACCGAGAGTATCTCGCCCGCACGGCAGAGCCTGGCAAGCCACCCGTGATGTATTCGATATGCCAAACACAGTAACAACAAAGTCTCCAATGGAGACGTTACTGGGCCCACTCGAGCAAATCGACGATCAACGGGAGGGCCTTTACCTTACCTTATATATAACTTATTAGATAATTACTGAATATCTCTGACATTTAAAAGCGCTGCACTGTAGCACTGTCCTCCCATTGTTTGATTTATTCCAGCGGACCCAGTAACGCCTCCATTGTGAGACTTGTTACTGTTTCTGGCACATCGAATACGTCACGGGTAGCTTGCCAGGCTTTGCCACGCGGGCGAGCTGCTCTCGGTAGCTTGTCAGGCTCTCCGAGAGGGGTGGAGGAATCGAACTCTGGTCGACCAGGTCGGTCGCATGCAAGGCAAACGCCCTACCTGCTGTGCTATTGCTCCAGCCCAGACATTTAAAAAAACACATGAAAATATTAAACTCAATAAGATACCTATTCACTGCTTTGCTGGTCAACACTTTTGTTTTTTGGGGACATGCCTGGTTGTGCTCAGGGCTTCCACCAGGTTCTGAGATCACTCCTGGAGGGGCTCAGGAGACCTTCAGGAGTCCTGGGGATCAAACCCAGGTGGGCTGCATGCAAGGCAAGTACCTTAACCTCTGCACTATCTCTCTGGTCCTACTAATCTACATTTTAGATGTTTGTTTTTCTTTTTCTCAGGCATCAAGGTTGGGCACCTTAGGAAGATTCAAGAGTTAATGGTACAGGCTGTACAATGACAATAAATTCTGCTCACATCAGTTTACATGTGAAAATAAGATAAAATCTGTGGAAACTTTTGTTAGGAACTTAGAGGAAAAGTTAAGGTTTCCACATTTAGATGCTGGTTTTACTCCTAAATCATTCTCTCTCAGTGTCTATTTCAGTATCTGTCTACTTCACTGCTGGCTCAAGAGAATATGAAACTTTGTGTTAGCATCTGAGTACTTATTTAATGAGCCATGGCTGGAGTTAGAACTCATGCCTTATGGCACCCCGTCAGTACTGCAGATGGTTTAGTTTGTTTCTAATATTAGTACATGAATGTTTGTAATTTCTAGAAGATGCTGTGTATTTAAATTGGTTACTACTATTCTAAAAAACAGTCTTTTAAGTATTTTAAGTCTTTGAAGTATTCAGCGTGAAGTATAATCTAAATTATGGCTCATTTTTTTTCTAATGCCTTAAGTATCCCATTGTTTTATCACAAAACTGAGAAAGGCTACTCAAAATTAGTTTCATTTTGGAATCGTTTGCTAAAATATTAACAAAACTGCAACTTGCTGTACAAAATAAGATAATTATTTTTTCCTCTAACTGAATACATAAATGAAATGTGTATGCATATTCATTTTCAACTGAGCTGTAACGAACATTATTTTTAAATGATGTACATGTCTATTGGAAATAAATAAACTCTATATAAGCATTTGTCTGTTATATTCAATACTAAAAGATTGTAAAGCTTGGTAGTTCTGGTTCAAGAGTATGGAAGAATGTGTTCCATAGCTTCATCTTTATACTGTGAAACTTGGATGTCTATTTATCAGACAAGACACAAAAAATTCAACTTGTATTTGATGAGAGCTGGAATAAGCCACGGTTGGCTAAAATACCTCAGCTTGAACTATTTTCTTCAAGAGTCTTGCTTCTTAATTTTTAGTCTACACAAGATCTGAGTGCTGAGAACAGGTAAAGGGATACATATGATAACCTGTTGGTACCTGTACTACAAAGGAAGAGGAGGGGGAGGGGGAGGGAGGAAGGAGGAAGGAGGGGCAGGGGAAAGAGGAAGAGGAGGGGGAGGAGGAAAAAGTGCCTTCCATGGTAGCAGGGTGGGGTGGGTTGGGGTGGGAGAGGCGATGGGGAGTAACTGAGCTCACTGGTGATGGGATATGTACACTACTGAAAGGATCATTATTGGAACATTATATGACTGAAGCACAATGATGAACAGCTTAGTAACTGTATCTCACAGTGATCCAATAAAAAAATTTTAAATAGTTATTATCAATAAATGTAGACTTACATACCTATTTTATATACCTTGGGTCAAGAAAAATTTTTTCAGATAAGAAAGGGTCTGGAGTGGAAAACGTTTGGGCAGTCCTGTCCTAGAGTCAGCTAGCAGGATTCACCATTTCTACATCAGAGGTAGTCGAGAAAATGTCTGCCTGAATGTCTCTGAATTAAACTTGCTCCTCGTGTAAGGCAGAACAATCCAGTAACTGCAGCATCTCCAGACTGACCTCTTGGTGAGCACTTCAGAAAACAAGACTCCATCTGTGTACATGGAGGCAAGAGGGTCCGGCTGAGCTGATCAGAGATGGTTCATGCAAAACTTCTGTTCAACAGAGTCATAAAGTAGTATAACACTAGCCCATTCACCAACATATAAAGTGTTTGACTGTTTCACCTTTATTTTTTGGTTTTGGATAACCCCCAGTGATGCTCAGGGGTTACTCCTGATAGAGTTCGAGGGACCGTATGGATTGCCAGATCGATATCAAACCCAAGTCAGCCACATGCAAGGCAAGTGCTGTACTCTCTCCAGCCCCAGTATTTTATTTATTTATTTACATATTTATTATTGGATCACAGTGAGATACAGTTACAAAATTGTTCATGATTGGGTTTCAGTCATATAATATTCCAACACCTACCCCTTTCCCACCAACGTCCCTAGTTTCCTCCCTGCCCCTCCCCCCCCGCCTCTATGACAATATGGTAAACATCTGCGCCTCTCTCTCTCTCCTCTCTCTAACTCTCCTCCTCCCTTTTGGGCATTATGGTTTGCAATACAGATGCTGAAAGGTTATCACAGATGTCCTTTTACCTACTTTCAACACTCAGTTTTTGTCCAGAGTGATCATTTAGAACTATTATTGTCAGCCCCAGTATTTTAAATCCTAATGTGGCAGAGGTAATATATCGACATTGAGATTTGTCCTATGCACATATTGCCTCATCTCACTGTCTCTCGTTTTAGTCAACTCTGAATCTCAACGTCCTCATCAGTAAGACCCAGCTAGCAGCATTTACCATTTCTACATCACAGTACGGTGAATGGAAACATAGTATAAACAAAAGTATCCAAAGAGCATCAATGCAAAGTGCTAATAGTTGGCATGTGGGTCAGAGATACAATCCAGTGAGGATCTGCCTTGTACACAGCTGACTCAGGTTAAATCCTGGCACCACAATTGGTCCTCTGAACACCAACAATAGTGATCCCTGACCACAGAGTCAAGAGTAGAACCTTAGCACAGACAGGTGTGCCCCCCCAACAAACAATACTAACATAAAAAACAAAATTTGGACTTTGCTAAAGTTGAGTACATGTTTTAGGAACTCAGATCTTAAAATCTGAAAGAATAACTGAAATTTAATAATTTTTACATACATTTAGATTCTAAGACTGAACTTTTTAAATATTTTTAAAGTATAAACCATGTGGTCTAATATAAACTAGTGCCTAATGACTACTTATTGCTACAGGGTAGGCTTATGGCGGGGAGGGGGCGGGACATGGAGGGGCAGAGAACCTGGCTGTGATCAGGGCATACTCCTGACTCTGTGTTCAGGGATCACTCTTGGCAGTGCTCAGGGGACCCTACGGGGTGCTGGGTAGTGCTAGGCAAGCGCCCTGCCCGCTGTACTATCACTCGGCCTCAAGCATCTGGTTTTGTTTAAAATAGGGACTGCATCAGGAACACAGCTAACCTGGATTCAATCCTCTGGTGGGAGGCTACATGTGGTACTGGGAATGAAACTCAAAGACTTCTTCCCTTTGAACTATCTCTCTAGTGCAATATGGGACTAAAATTTTAGGAAATGTTTCTCTCCCTTCTAGCCATAGAAGGGATTCGAAGCCACAGTGTAATTATTTCTGTTTCACTAGCATCGGTCACACTTCTATTCTTTAACACATTGGCTGCAATCTGTGTTAAACCCTATTTATGTGTGAGCCATTGGTGGCTCCTATGGGAATCAACATATTAAAGTCACAACTTGCAAACTAAATTTCTCACACTGTTGAACTGTAAGATGTTTAAATGCTGTAAGACTGTAGTGATGTCACAAGGAGTTGTCATGTTTCCTAAAAACTCCAAATAGAGGATCAAGTTTCCATGGAAAGCTTTCGATTTTACTTTAAATTTTGCATAAAAAGATAATAGCATTCTGCCATATGACAGCATTCAAAGGGACTTGACTCAGAGGGTCACTCCAGTCCACTCCGACTGATTTCTAGGCCAGGCCTTCCACTGACCCATCCCTTCCTCCTTTTGAGTACCTCCGTGAAACACTTTATCTTCCAAGATGTCAGAGATTTCTCTTGACCGAGCCCTCACCTGCATATCTTCAGGACTTTGACATAGAGATCCTAGGAAGAATAGGCAGAGAGAAAAATAAATACATAGTGAAATTTTCCTAAGTGACTGTTTCTGGGTAACAGGTTTATACTGACATTTTTGTCCTTTTCTTCAAGCTTTGAATGTTTATCATAGGAAATTGTTCAAATTTCCTACAATAACCATTATCTGGGAAACTTAAAATATAAAGGAAAGATATTTTCTTTTTTCTTTGTTTTTTTTTTTGGGGGGGGGGCACACCAGGCAATTTCCAGGGTTTACTCATGGCTCTGCACCACCAAGGACCACCAAGTCCTACCTTGGTGGTGCAAAGCCAACATCCTATCCACTATACTATCATTCCGGCTCCTGATTTGTGTGTGTGTTTGTTTGTGTATGTATGTATGTATGTATGTATGTATGTATGTATGTATTTTTTGAGAGGGAAGGGTCCACACCCAGTGAAGCACCAGGCTTACTCCTGGCTGTGAGCTCAGGAATCACTCCTGACGGGCTCAGAAGACCATATGGGATGCCAGCGATTGAATCCAGGTTAGCTGTGTGCAAGGCAAACATCCTACCCACTGTACTATTGCTCCAGCTACTGATATATTTCTAATGAGGGTTCAAACTCACTGTTTAGCAAGGAGTTGCATGAGGGCTGGAGAGATAGTACCGTGGGTAGGACACTTGCCAACCAGGGTTCGATCTCAGCTTCCCATATGGACCCCCAAGTCTGCCAGCAGTGATTCCTGAGCACAGAACCAGGAGCAATCTCTAAGCACCACCAGGTGTGGCCCCAAAATAAAACAAATGAAACAAAAAAATGAAGTGGCATAAAAGACCCTTATAAATACAAAGGTTTACATCTAATAATAAGTTGTTTATTCTCAACAACCTTCATTGGAAAATCCTATTAGAGTGTGAGGTCCCCCCAGACTTCTCAATAGTAGCATGATACATAAGAACTTGGCTTTCTGACCTCTTTATGACCTTATGTCACCCCTGTAAAAGTTATGAGTTGGAGAAAGGTACTTTACAGATGAAAAAATTAAGCTTATAGGGCCAGAGTGATAGTACAGAGGGTAGGATGTTGGCCTTGCAGATGGCGGACCCAAGTTTGATCCTTGGCAACCCATATGGTCCCCTGAACAAGCTAGGAGTGATTCCTGAGTGCAGAGCCAGGAGTAACCCCTGAGCACCACCGGGTGTGCCCCCATCATGCCCCCTTTGCTCTCCTCCCCCCCCCAAAAAAATGAAGGGTGCTAAATAAGAATCAGTTGACCTTAAAATACAAAAATTATCCAGAGTGCCTAAGTCAGAAAATACAGGTAGAAGAGTCCCCTGTGAAAAAGATGCAGTAACAGAGATGAAGCATGAGTCCGTGGCTAGCCTTGAAGATGGAGGGGCTCTGGGTCGGGGAGCACTGGTGGACTCGGGAAGCTACAAATGACTTCAGCCACCAGCCAGTAAGGAAACTGAACTTCAGAGCCACAGAAGTATGGCACAGATTATTTCAACAGCTCGAATGAGCTTGGAGCAGATTCTCCTGCAGGACCTGACCCTAAAAACACATTGGCCTTCAGGCCTGAGCTAAGCCCACCTAAGTGAGGCCTGCCACTACACTTCTGACTCACACAGCTCTACGACTTACGCTGTTTAAGTCACAAAGCTTAATTTTTTTTTAATTCACTAAATTTAAGTCAC